TAATGATTTTAGGATGCCTCAATTTTCAGGTGTCCAACTTGAGACCCCGGGAAGGGGTCATTTTGCGGAGGATAGATATTATGCCCTTTTTAGAAATCAGGCACCCAAATCACTATTCACTGCTGAAGATCCTGGCTAAAGACCTTGAGGAGCAAAACACCACAAACTAAATAAATAAAGAAAATTAGGGACTGCTTCTCCCAACCATCACCAAATATCAGGCAGCCCGCTCTAAACAATTGCAGCAATTTTAAGCCTTATTTGGACCCCATGTATCTTCTTAAAATAAACCTTCCACCTGAAATTTGGTCTGAAATCTGTCTGTAATCATGGACAGAGGGACCTAGACAAATTGGAGGATTAGGCGAAAATAAATCTGATGAGGTTCAACAAGGACAAGTGCAGAGTCCTGCACTTCGGAGGGAAGAATCCCATGCACCGCTACAGTCTGGGGACCGACTGGCTAAGCAGCAGTTGTGCAGAAAAGGACCTGGGGATTACAGTGGATGAGAAGCTGGATATGAGTCAGCAGTGTGCCCTTGTTGCCAAGAAGGCTAACGGCATATTGTGCTGCATTAGTAGGAGCATTACCAGCAGATGAGTGATTATTCCCCTCTATTTGGCACTGATGAGGCCACGGTGGATCTGGAGTACTGCGTCCAGTTTTGGGGCCCCCACTACAGAAAGGATATGGAAAAACTGGAGAGAGTGCAGCGGAGGGTGTAGAAAATGATTAGGGGGCTGGGGCACGTGACTTATGAGGCAAGGCTGAGGGAACTGGGCTTATTTAGTCTGCAGAAGAGGAGAGTGAGGGGGGATTTGATAGCAGCCTTCAACTACCTGGAAGGGGGTTCCAAACAGGATGGAGCTCGGCTGTTCTCAGTGGTGGCAGATAACAGAACAAGGAGCAATTGTCTCAAGTTGCAGTGGGGGAGGTCTCGGGTGAATATTAGGAACAACTATTTCCCTAGGAGGGTGATGAAGCACTGGAATGGGTTTCCTAGAGCAGTGGTCTCCAAACTTTTATTGGATCGTGCACCCTTATCCGTAAAAAAATTTTGAGCACGCACCCCATGCAGTGCTGGCTCGACCATTTTTGCTGAAGCAAAAAAAAAAAAAGCCGCTTGGACTCCCGCCTGATGAAGAAAAAAGAAAAAAAAACCACTCCTCCTGCCGCGCACCCCCAAGGATCCTCTTGCGCACCCTTTGGGGTGCGCGCACCCCACTTCGGAGACCACTTCCCTAGGGAGGTGGTGGAATCTCCATCCTTAGAGGTTTGTAAGGCCCAGCTTGACAAAGCCCTGGCT